TYTYCWMCWWMTCGTCACTTGATAAAAAGATATAAATGTTCCAGGAAACAAAAGCAGGCTGTGCAATGACACCAGCACTGAAGTCAGCGATGGCCAAGCCAAGAACAAGAACGTTCGAAGGTTTTTCTCGTAAAGATGATGTCTTTACGAAAGTGAAGATTGTCAAGAAGTTGAGAGAAGCAGCTAAGAGGGCCATCACTGTATTGATAACAATTATTGACTGAAGAAAATAGGCAACAGAAGAATCATTGGTGGTCATTCTTTTTTGTCTAAAATTTAGGGTACCAATTTCAAGTATGGGTTCAGTATCAGTGTTCAATCCCCTACGATGAGACTTCCATGGACAAGCCGATAAGATAAGGCTTGCTATGGTAGACCGTCGATGTTCACCTTCTGACATGTAAAAAAGGTCGCTTAGATCAATTCTAGATCTAGTATTAATAAAGCACATAGCAGATGTTTCAACCTCTGATTATGCCTGAAGTATTAAGCAATAATCAAAATAATATAAGAACACGCGCTTTACACAGAACTTTTCATTAAATAACATATTTATTTATTTGTTCAGTAATAACTGGGTATATCATATCSATCAAGTTGACTTAATAACATGGGCATAGCATAACGCCTGTAAGACATCTACTGATATTTACCAGCCCTTCGTATGATTAATTGTTTTTTTCCCTTTTCACCCTTCGTCGCCAAATTTTTAAAGTATTGAAAATTAATAATTTGTTTCAGCATTAAAACTGAAAATAGCCAGTGTGTATAAAAGCATGTCTCTGTGTATCCTCGTGAATCCAGCAGTAAAAATCTCGCGCACTCCTTGCCACTTGTCCTATATAATTTTCGTTTTTTTTTTGAGTCATTTGTTTGTTACGTAGTATTGGCGATTCTTCATTGTAAATAAACTGATGATGACTTTTTCAGTATATGCAAACATTAACTCATTCATTATAAAATCTAAAATACTACTTAGCAAAGACTTCAAAATAGATCACCGTCTACCTTTTTGACGCATATGAAACTTAATTTAAATTTCTCAGATTAAAAACTACGAGTAGCAGGTGATATTGTAAGAGGAGCATTTTTGGTAGAGGGTTCAGATTTCTTTTTTTTCTCTTTCTTTTTAATATGAAATTCTATTTTTTTATGGACGTGTTATAGTCTTCCATGTTTTCATACTGAAAAATATACTATATAAATCTCTCAAGTCGACTCTTTATATATCTCTCTCAAACCCCTCAAACCGACCCTAACTTATTCAAACTGGTCAGAGCTGTGCTCCAGGATCTTACATGGATTGTATAGTGGCTGACAGAAGCTTCTTTTCATTGCTGTCAGTAAAAATCCTTGAGCTCCGCGCCTTTGCTGTTCTTGCGGTGGTAAATAGTGATAACAAGTTTAACGTGTTTGTACTTTGTCCCTTCGATTTATTTTTCTTTGTGCATACAGAACAGCTAACTTGCACAAACTATATGTATTATGTCAATGTCTGCCAAGCCTCACCAATTGTGTTGGGGATGTATTCTTTTACAAAGCTTAGTTTCTCGTTTGAAAAAAATAGAACAAGTTTGCTGGGGATGGGGGAGATTCGAACTAGGCATAAAATTACGAGCTGTTCTTTTTCAACAGGCCACTGCTTCTTACTTTATCCAACTTTCTAAAATGAAAACTTTTAGTCCCTAAGAAAATATTCAAAACTTTTTCATATGGATATTAATTCTTACCGTATGCAGCACATTAGGGCATGACGAGCTGGAGAGCCCATTTTACGGTAAACAGCATGTAGTCTTGGTTGCTACAGATAATAGTTAATCCGATTTCCGTGATGTCAAGATGACGAATGCCAGGCAAAAACATCAAGCATCTGTAAATATGCCTACACTCGATCTATTTAGAGTTATAAACCATGTCGCTCGGCTATGAAAGTCCCAATAAGACACCCAAAACATAACATACTTGTCATATAATCACTTATTACCTGTAGCATTAAAAATGCCAATGAAACAATTCGATTGAAATAAACATTTATGAAAATATATACCTTTAACCCGCTCCCAATAGATCAACACAAGCTAAGAACAGACGTATTA